TTCGTGCATTGGCCACCCTCTCTCTCTCTCTCTCTCTCTCTCTCTCTCTCTCTCTCTCTCTCTCTCTCTCTCTCTCTCTCTCTCTCTCTCTCTCTCTCTCTCTCTCTCTCTGAACAGAGATTTCGGCAAGCCTCGCCGTATGCCCCGCTTGCCATTTGGTCGGGAGCTAGTATCTTGGCGGATGGCTCTCCAACGTGGACCCCCCCTCCAAGTCGGAAGTCTTCTGGTTCCGTCATATCAGATCACGGCGGAAAAGCACCCCTGGGCCTTGACAAAGGGGGCCCCAAGAAACGCATCGCTGCCTTGGAGATGTTCGGCACTTTGATCCTTACTCGTCTTTGGCGAAGCGAGTCGCAGCCTAGCCATTGGCCGGCAAGTTTGGGTGAAACGTAAGAAACTGTACTTACAGACGAGTAGTAGCACTGTACAAGTCGACTCGCGTTCTCGCTCTTACTGACGAGTCTACCAAGGGCTTTCCACTTGGTACTAACCTCTATGCCACTCATCTTTGTACAGCTTTCAGGTGCCTGCAGTCCTTTGTCTGCTCCCCTTTCTGGTAGCACCAGACGGTGCGGTAGCCTGGTCTCACCAGAGGGAGTTTTAAACTGGTAACACCAGGGACCCTGTATGTCCTGGTAGCACCAAAGCATGCAGCCTTTGCCCCGTGCTGGTTACCTCTGCATAACCGTCAGGCACCCGTTGCTTACCCCGTCTGAATTGCCACCAGCGGGGTGTCAAAACTACGTCCTTTTAACCAGTCCCACAGACCTCTCGTGGTAGGTACCTTTACATGTGGATACTGGCCTCGCTTGCACTGTTCTTGCCTAACAGCAAGCGGAAAACGGCAAAACACTGAAGCCAGAGGAGACAACTACTTGGGGCAGAAAGGCCGACACACCCCCGGCTCACTCCCAACTTCCCTCTACTTGGGTCTGGGTTCTTACGTTTTCCCTTCGTGCAGGAGTCGTCTTGGACTCTCTGCGGCCCAGTGAGGAGAGCGACGAGCCCGAAACTTAAGTGAGCCAGCCTTCCGCGGCAAGCTCCCTAACAACAACATTGCACATGCGCCAGAACATGCTGCAATTACTTTGATCCTTACTCACTTCCTCATGGACAAGGCGCCCGCTTTCATCCCGAACCTGAGGCTCCCTCTGGTTAGTGACAACCAAAAAATGTCTACTCGCTTCTCAACGACAAGTCCAAGAAGATGCCCACCTCGGTCATCCTCATGGAGATCTTGCTTCAGTTGCATCAACACGGCATGCAGCTTGCCCCTGCGCACGTGAAGCGCGACTTCAACGCGTGGGCAAATGAACTGACTCACCCGGACTTTCAAGGTTTCACACCCTCTCTTTGCTTGCCGGTTGAACCCGTGCTCAGGCATTTTACTCTCATCCGTTCTATACTTGAGGATCGCATATTTGATGACCCAGGCGACCTCACCCATGGGCCCGCACAGGGCGCCCGGTGAGGTGGTGGCTGCCTCCTGTACAGGCTTCTTTCTGGACGGCACAGTCCGTGGGCCTGTTTTTGAGAAGAGGGGGGGGTCCCCGAACACCAGGTGCCGTGGGCCCTGAGTGACGGGACCCCCACAGTTTTGGAGCATTATATCCGGATCTTTGACCGAAGGGATTCTCCCGAAGGTCGGCAGCCACACCAATCCACCATGCAAAAAGGAGGGCCCGACTGCATGGCTTTTGGTGTGCCATTTTCATGCGGATTTCTGACAAAAATAGAATATTTCTTCTCGCGGCGCGAGCCCTCCAGCCATGTATCTTGTTTCTTGACGAGGTTTATGCATGTATGCATGTATGCACTGTGTTAGTAGATGTGCTATGTAGAGGAAATCTTGTTTGATAAGTGATGGGGCTTACGCTGAGATGTGTATATATATATATATATGGTCACACCCCCTTCCCCCATCATCCACCTTGGCCTTCTTGTCAAAACCCGAACCAGGATCTGGTTCTGCGTCTGCGATAATGGGAAGAAACACTTGAGCCCTTCTCAACTAAGAAAGACAGCGGAAAACCCAGTTGTGTTTGCTCAGTTGGTGGTTTTTTTCATGAAACACCAGAAGCCTCCTTAGTTATCAGTGGCTGGAACGCAAGGAGCTGTTACTGTACAATTTGCCATTACCAACAAACTATATCCAAATGCTTCGGAGAAGAAGTGGTCTCCCTCCCCACATACATTCGGTGCTGTGTCGAGCTCCTTGGGCTTTATAACGCGAAAAACAGAATAACAAGTCAAATTTTCGTTTGCGAGCAGCAAGAACAAAAGCAACGACCACATAAAGATTTCTTCTTCTTCTCTTTAGAGAAAATGTGAGACAAACATGTATCTGGCAAGCATTCGTTGTTCCCCTTTTAGCAAAACTTCATATGCTGAACAGCAAGTTTTCGCTTAATAACATGAAAGACGATCCCGGCCCAGAACGTAATCTAGCTGTATTGCACCGCACTACTGCACCCGTAATAAAGATCCTGCCATCCTTCAATACAATATGAAACAACTCCAAACCTCTCCTATCCGCATAGCCTCAAAGCAATGGTGGGACACATCTGTTTCTCATTATCATGATGCTTTAAGGACAGCAACACAACACTTGACTTGCATCTTGGGCAAGGCTGATCTTAACTACAGCCATGATATTGCTCCATGAAAGAAGAGTTATAGGTTCCGCAGCATCCCCTTAATCATGGCAAAAGGGTACTCGTGGGGAATTCAGTTTATGCAATACAAAAGAAAAAGTTTCTCATCTTGCAACAAAAAATAACGGAGCTGATCAGCTGCTCTAGTTCTTGAATATGCAACACAAACCAAGTGTTTTTTCTCTGCAGCGGGAAAGGTTCAAAACTGTTAGCAAGGTCTTACCTCAATCAAAAGCCAAGAACTCGACAATATCTAAACATGATGCTGGGTCCAACAGACATTCGCGTTGGCATAAGACGTTCTAGAGTATCCGCAACACAAGCAGGTTTCAATAGTATAAGAGAACAACCGTTCTGATTTTTCTTTTGTTGAGCAAACCTGTTCTTAACTACATTTTTGATCTTGTTCGATGAAACAAGCGTTAGTACCGTTGGACTTATGTAATACCAGCAGAAGCAGCCATTTCTTTTGCAATATGAAACAGCGGATGTCTCTCAACATTGAGAAGGAAGCTAGAGTCAGCTAAGAACCACGTCCCCACCGCGCGCTAAAGCATCCACATACACAAACATTTTTGAATAGTACATGGTACACTGTTCCTTTATTACGTTTTTCATTTCCGGCTTGAGGAATCTTGGGAAAAGTCGATCCCTGCCGATGTTTTCGCATCCGAGGTTGCTTGTTTTCATGCTGCCAGGCTCAAACTTCTGCAAATTTTCTGAAGCCTGACATGCGAAAACACTAGCAGGGATCAGATCTCACCAAAATTCCGAATATCCTGGCATCTATGCGGAGTGTGGGGGCCATGGTTGCTCGGATTTGGGGAAGTTTGGTGGAATTCGATCCCTGCCGATGTTTTCGCGAATTTCGGTGAACTTTGATCCCTGTCGATGTTTTCGTATCCGAGGTTGCTAAATTGCTGCCAGACTCAACTTTCATCAAAATTTCTGAGGCCTGGAATGCGAAACCATTGGGCGGGATCAATTTTCACAAAATTTCCTTCCTTCCTGGCATCTATGGGGCGTGCGGGGCCATGGTTGCTCAGGTTTCTGGAATTTTGGGGAAGTTTGATCCCTGATGATGTTTTCGCATCTCAGGCTTCGGGAATTTTGGCGAAATTTGATCCCTGTTGATGTTTTCGCATCCGAGGTTGCTAAAATGCTGCCAGGCTTGAAATTTCCACAAAATTTCTGGAGCCGAAAGCACTGGCAGGGATCAAATTCCACCAAAATTCCTAAAATCCTTCATCTGTGGGGAGTGCGGAGGCCATGGTTGCACAGATTTCTGGAATTTTGGGGAATCCGATCCCTGTCGATGATTTCGCCTCCGAGGCTGCCCACCTCCCATGATCCATTGCTTACAAATTTAAAAGCAGGTTCGGGTGGATCACGGCAAAGGGGCGTGAGCATGCATATATATATATATATAATATTATATATATATATATACATACATATATATATATAAATATGTAGATGTAGATGTGTATTTATTTATGCGAGGAGTAGTCGTCGTAGTAGTAGGAGCAACAGCAGGAGCAGCAGCAGGAGTAGTTAGTTAGTTCGTTCCTTCGTTAGTAGTTAGTTGGTTAGCTAGTAGTTAGTAGTTAGCAGTTAGCAGTTAGCAGTTAGTATGTAGCAGTTGGTAGTTAATAGCTCGTAGCTAGTAGCGAGAAGCTAGTAGCTAGTAGCCAGTAGCTAATGGTTAATTAGTAGTGTGCAGTTAGTAGTTAAGTAGTTAGCAGTGTTAGCTCTTTTCCTCAATGTTGTTGTTGGCCCCAACCCCGCCTCCCCTCCCCCGGCAGCCTCCCCTAAGGAAGGTTGTTGTACCCCGAATTCACGAACAACAAACCCCCGCACCCCGCCCTTTCAGATGTACCTCTTGGCTTCCGGATGTTATCGTCAGAGCTGCAGCACTTGAAGTCCGAGCCGTGTTGGAAAAGGGTTTGACGATCCATGTTCCTTGCGACAGTCCTAGCCATTTAGATTGGCTCGGAAAGATACTTGGATGTTTTGCTTTGCACAAGCTAAGCTGAGCCAAAAGGCCAAAAGCAATAGTAAGTGTTGCGTCCATTTCTGGGATAGGCTTTCGTAGACTTCGAGATCTTTTCGCCTGCTCCTTATGGCGAAGCTTGACGCATCCCCAGCCTTTTGAATTTAGCTCCAATATCCAAGTCATACAATCATACAGTATGCTAGGATGTCTGTGCCGTGCGTGTATGTAGGCGACATTTCCGGTATGTAGGCGCAGGACTCCCCGATTCCCGGATGATGGTGACAAACTGCTGGCATGTCGAGCCCAGCAGGTCAGTGTTCGTTTGGTTGCAAATTTTGCCAAACCTGCAGGAAGTTTCGCTTGGCCGCTGGCTCGACGTTGTAGACCTCCTTATCCGTATGCTCAGGCATGGGATGGGTTTGGTAAACTTGCTCGTGCAAATGTTTGTGCGTTTGATGTGACTGTCTCTATCGTTGTCTGTCTTTCTGTCCGCCATCTCATGTCTACATGTACGTGCCTCTGTCCCTGTCTGGACGGATGGTCTTCGGCGGTTCGAAGGAGTTGTGGTGGTTTGCAGGCATGTAGCTGCGGACTTATCCGCGAGCATGACTACATGTGTATGTGGCCAAGGGAATTCGTCGTTGTGTGCGCGGGTGTATTGTTGTGTGTACATCTGCCTGAAGGATGTGCCCATGATAAAAGCTCATGTGCAGCTTTGACGTATGGGTAGATGCCCCTTTCGTCATGTACACACAGATGGGCAGAAACGTATGTACGTACATATGAGATCATATGAGAGTTCTCCTTTTTGTCGGGCTCCGGTCGGTGTCATGCCAAATTGCGAAAGTTCACACCTATCGAGCATGCGTAAGCTAGAGCAAGTGCGAACCCATGCTCTGCGCGAGCTTTTTGTTGCGCATGCTTCAGCAATGAGCGACTAGGCACGCGGTTGCATGCAAGAAAGCGCGCAAGGGTGCCTGCCTGAAGCCATGAAGGACCCACCACAGACCAGAGGCCCCTGAGCTGGTCACAGCATTCTCATGCTGGACTGGGCAGGGCGCCTTTGGAAAAACGAACATGGGACCCTGCTTGCAAACTACTTGGACAATTCCACCATGGACAATCATAGAACGACCTGTATACCTAAATATATATCTATATATATTTGCGCGCATAAACAGAAACATACAGACAGAGGTAAAGAATGTGTACATGTATACATGCGTGTGCATGAGTGCTTCCATGTATGCATGTATGCATGCGTACATGCTGCATGCAGGCATGCAGACATGCATACACACATCCAGACCTACAGCGTATTCTCTGCGTTGTTTAGCTGAAAATTGCAGATGACAAGAAGGCTGCATGTAAACAGTTAGGTACATGCATGCATACATGCATAAATACCTAGTTACTTCCTAACTTACACACGCAGAGACATGCAGACATGCGCACATGCATACATGCATGCATGTGCTGGTACATGTGTATATATGCACATATATGTGCAACATATGCATGCATGCATACATGCATACATGAACCCATGCATGTGTGCATGCGTGCATCCATGATTCATGTTTGATTATGTACTCCTGTTTATGTGTGTTTCCATGTACTCCTGTTTATGTGTGTATCCATGCAGGTATATACATACAGACATACCTACGTACTTACATACATACAAATACTGTTTGCATATCTATGTACGTACACATATAAATACAATGTAAATACACACATACACACACATATACATATATATATATATATATATACACATGTACACAGGTATGTAAGTATACATACATACATACACATATATATATATATATACATGTATATACATATCGACCTATATGTCTATGTAGGTAGTTGTGTATACGAAAAGACCACCCTATATGTGTAAATATATGTATGCTTGTTTTGAGATATAGAGCATATGCACAGCAGTCCTCAAATACAGAGTCATATACATCATGTCCATACAAGTAACTATATACATACATATATGGGTATACATATATGTATGTATACACGTGCAGTCATATGCACACAGACACACACACACACACACCCACCTAGCCACCCACCCACCCACCCACCCACCCCTACAACCAGCCATACATACATCCATACATACATACATACATACACACAATACACATTTATGCTTATATAAATGTGTGCGGCGTATATATACGTCTACACACATATGTATATGGAGTTGATGCGGTTGACAAAATTCAGATGAAATGCACACATGTGCATATACATATACATAAAAACACAACACAATCATATGTACAGAGACTGCCAGGCTGATGCGCAAGATCTCGTGTGTGCGTGTGCCAAGACTGTGTGACCAGCTCTAGGTGTGGTTCCGCGCCCCTCCGGCTTTTGCAAGCAGGACGACAGCAATGGCTCACGTGGTGAAGTCTGATGCCGCGGCGGCATGCTTACCAGAGCTGCTGTCGGTCTTGCATTTCACAAGGGGTGACGGGATGACTCTGGAGTAGCTTGTTGCTTGGGGGCTGTGCTTGTGAAACTCATACCGCTTGACTGTCGTTTATTGCAGAGACCCACCTTCCCAGCAGATGACCGGATGCAGGTTGCAGCATGCCCTGTTCTCTCCGAGACATCATCGACGTAGGAGTGTTAATTCGAAGCTGAGTGCTCAAGTGAGTCTAACATCTTCCACACAACCTGCACATGGGCTTGCCCATCGCAAGTGGGAACGGCTCCCGTATTTCGCATCAAGTTTGCTTCATGGCACCTCGACCTCGTGTTTAGTCAAATGACCAGGTTCTTTGTTATTTCTTTCAGTGCGCGGACGTTGTGCGTCCATCTTGGCCGTGTTGTGTGCCGAAACGGCAATGTTTGCGGACATGGTCGTGCACGATACTGCTGTGGCAGAAAGACGAGAAACCCTTTGAAGTTCAGGATTGGCACCAGACGGGTTGCTCAGCACCTTGTCTGTATGTGCTGCTGTTTATAATCATCTCAAAGCGGTGACGCTGTTTTGGACCAGGCGCAAATCGGAAAGTTCCCCGGGAGCTGAAACCCACGCTTCAAGGCAAATCCTTGGGCCCCTGTTCTCAGATTCTGGAAGCATGGCATAGCCCCTGCACGAGCCCTACGCTACCATAGCTGTGGCTGATGAGGATTTGAGACGCAAGATGTACATAGGTCGAAAGATCTCGGATGTGGGCAGTGGGCTGAGCCAGATGAGGCTACAGTATGATTGCACTTTGCCCGAATCGCCAGGTTGCTTTAGCACAATCGATCATCATGAGGGACAGCTGTTAGAAGCTACAGCTGCTTTTTGATTAGGATCTGGGCTTAATATTTCTTGCACACAGCATGCCGGAAACTCTTTTGCCCATAAGCTGAATGGTTGACCTCCCGAACCAACACGGCTCTTGGACAACAGCTGCCCGGATTTCATGATGTTTTCGTCTCAGGACTGACATGCGTAGTTTCGACGATCAGAAAACATGATGGTCAGTGTTATGTCGGTCTCACTGACTCTCCATGCTTTTGGTGTTGAAAGTGATTCGTTTCCTTCCGTTTCATGTCTGATTTGAACGATCACCAGTGCGACCTGCGACTGAAACTTGTCAAGACTGTGATGCCAATCAGCTCTGTCTCCTTGAGTTCCATGTCGCACATTCTTCGCAGGGCTCTCCACCGTGTAGCTTGGCTGCCGGACTCAAGATGGTTCCACACATCATCCCAGACAAACCAACAATGTTGGCACCACTTTTGCACATCATATTCTGATACCTGGCATCACCTGAATGCGGAGTGTCGCGGGTTGTGCTTCGTTATCATACTACTACTACCACCACCACGACGACTACTACTACTGCTGCTACTACTGCTGCTACTACTACTACTACCACTACTACTACTACTACTACTACTACTACTACTACTACTACTACTACTACTACTACTACTACTACTACTACATCAGATGTTGTTGTTGTCGTGGTTGCCCTTGTTATTGCTGCTGTCGTTGCCGTTGTTTTTGTTGCTGTTGTTGCTATAGTTGTTGTTATTGCTGTTGCTGCTGCTGTAGCTGTTGCTGTTGCCGCTATTGCTGTGGTTGCCGTTGCAGCAGTTGTTGCGGCTTTTGCTGCTGTTGCTGGTGCTGTTGCTGCTAATGCTGCCATTGCTGTTGCTGTTGCTGTTTGTATTGGTTATCGCTACGGCTGCGGTTGGTCATCGTCGCCGTCGTTGTTGCTGTTGCTGTTGTGGTTGTTGATGTTCGTAGTGGTTTGATGTTGGTTTTGGTTGTTGTTGATCGTTGTTGGTCGCTGTCTGTCGTTGCTTGCTGTTGTTGGTTGTTTTTGTCATTGTGTGCCGTTGTGTGTCGTTGCTTGCTGTTGTTGGTCGTTGTTGATTCTTGATCGTCGTTGTTCGTTGTTTGTCGTTGCTGTCGTTACTGTCGTTGCTCGTTGTCAATGTTACAATTGTTGTTTTTAGTGGTGGCGGCGGCTGTGGTGGTGGTGGTTTTGGTGTTTGTGCTGGTGGTGGTGGTGGTGGTGGTGGTGGTGGTGGTGGTGGTGGTGGTGGTGGTGGTGGTGGTGGTGGTGGTGGTGGTGGTGGTGGTGGTGGTGGTGGTGGTGGTGGTGGTGGTGGTTTCGTTTGGCTTCGTTTCGTTTCACTCGCAGCCAGGGAGTCCAAGCCTTGCGTACAGATTTTGTCAGGACGATTGTTGTAGCCGCCCCGGCCGTCATATGACAGCACAACCAGGTCCCTGCAGCCCCAGCTGCATCCATTGCACAGGCTCAGCAGCAGACGGCAGCAGCTGTCTTTGCGGGTCCACCAGGATTGTCACCCTCTGATCAGATTGCTAATGGTAGTCTCATTGCCTCCAACAGCAGCAGCTCGAGTGGTATGCACGGGAACCAGACAAAGTTACCACCGCCCCGAAGATCCTATAAGCATGGTAACTCGAGAAGTGTAAAAAGAGACGCAGTAGTGCCACGGTGCAAAAGCAGAAAAGAGAGCACCCTTCGGCAGGCAGCAAGGAGCAGTGCTGAAGAGAAGATTATGTGATGTGTGTCCACACGCACGCCTGTGGACAGACAGTCACCTCATTCCCCCCGTCAGCACAGCTCCGCCCTTGTTCACCCAGGGATGAGGCAGTGGAAGCCAGCCCATTCAAGTAAAGCGCGGTCCGCCTGTGTCAGCGCATTCAATCCCTTCGCATGGTGCGACAAGCAAAATGCGGTCGCCACAAGACCAGGGGAAAGTAGCATGCGCCGTATGCGGGTCCAGGATCAAGAACGGAAGCTGCACTGCACGCAGACATCCTGCTCCAGAGCGCTCATCTAAGTGAACAGAGCCTTGAGCGTCCGCGGTCCAAACCTGCCCACCACGCCATCGGCTGCAAGGCAGCAGAAGATTGACTGTATTGACCTCATTTGCCTGATCCCGATGCTTATACTGCATAACATTCATCAGAAGAGTGCAGCTGCTGTAATGATGTCCAGGGCGAGTCATCCAAGGGTAATCCCGAGTGTTGTTCTGGATGCCTTGCGTGCCACACGCGGCATAGGCTCCCACAGAGAAGGTGCGTTGGCAGCGCCCCGTGGCCCCATCCGAGGTGCTAGTGCGACGACGTTTGGCAGCGGTTTGACCCGGTAGGACAGAGCACAATTCAGCCAATTGTTCCAAGGAGCAGTGGTCATTCCTGACATATCGCATGAGCCATCCGCTCCAGTGCAGGAGCATTGACGCTGGGATCCGAAGGGCAATCGCCAAAATCAAAGCAAAGCTCGTGCAACACCTCACCGTCCTCAATGTTCCAAACATCGCACCAGCTCCCCGGGGTAAAGCCAGGGAGGACAGTACTGGAAGCAGAAGGGGAGGATGGCAGCGCAGGTGAAGCCATGGAGGTCGAGGACCAAGTGGGCACCGCCTCTGTAGAGCCAGGGAAGTGAGCTTCATCCTCCTCGTCAGCTTCATCCTCAAAGTCCGGATGAGCCACTCTCAAAATGGAAGGCAGCTCGAGATCCCATATGTCCTGAGGTACGTGAGCCGGCCTTTGTGGTAGCATTTGGACTCGACGATTACAGATTCTTTTTTTTTGTAGTCTCTCTCTTAGTCAAAAAAGCTGCCGGGAGCACAATGGTTAGTTTTCCGTTACGTGAAGTAGTCACTGTCTAGCCACAGAAAAGTTGCCCAAGCATCAGACACCGTGATGTGATGTGCCAGCGGAGCTTGCAGAACAGGGCACCCAAGTCACTGGCGATCAAGTGTGATGGACTGTCAGTGGAGCGGCCTAGGGCCAGTACAGCATAGCACGGAACAGCACCCGAAAGGTGCGCCAAGGTATGGGGCAGGGCACCTTACAGGACAGACTCTAAGAGGCTCCGGGATGAACATTTGGGCATCTGATAAAGGATCCGATCGGGGACTGCTGGGGACTAAGAGGCAGGGAGCGCGCACCCAGGCCCCAGAGGCACGGTGGACGCATAGCCTAAGCAGGAGTGCCGCGCTGAAAGAGCCAAGGGTGCCCAGATGCGTGTGATCAAAGTGACAGGAACAATGGCAGCAACATGCGTGATCCTTATAGGGAAGTGAAGCGCCCGAATCCCACGGGCTACACACAGTGCGCACTCCACAATGTTTCACTCACTACGCGCCTCCTGGCATCAGTCACGGCCCCACCTTGTGCACTGAGTTTGCAGTGCATCCGGAGCCCTGATGTCACCTAGACCCAAGACGGGCGCTCTCGGCACACAAGCATGTGGGATGTTGATGTAGCAGTAGATGGGCTCAAGCCAAGGAAAGCAGCCTCCTGATGGGTCAGCCTACAGCATCTTAGACACCAGAGGCGAATCCCGAGAGCCCCGAGGCACGATCCGCAGCAAAGCGATGCGACTGTGTGCAGCATGAGTAAGAAGGAGCTCATATTAGGGAAAGCCCAAGGCAGAGGAGACATGCGCTACAGGTCCAAGGGCCGAGACTAGCATTAAGCTTGGGGTGGGACTGCATGTCAGGCGTCACAGTCACATGTCCCATGCCGTGACCGGCTGGACCACGCCTGTCTGCGCTCAGCATCACAGCGCGATGCTAGCCAGAGGTGGCTCCCCGTACCTGAGATGGCCCAGGCAGCACGCATCCCGGTCAGGGAGGAGGGATTCGATAGCCAGGATTTTTTTTTGCAGTGTGACCGAAGGCGGCTGCCCCGTTTGGGCGCTCCAGCGCCCATGATGACCTCAGGAAGCGGGTCGTGAGGGTGACGGCCGGCCAGAGGCCGACCGCACCGCATCATTAATCGCCGCAGGCTCCAGAACCGCCCAGAAGAGATACGCCTGACCCGAAGTGAACTCAAAACCAACCCCGGAGCAATCACGAGGGACAGGCATAGCCCCATCATCACAAAACCAAGCCTGCGCATCAGCCACAAGTAGGCAAGTGTAGTGTCCCGAAGTGAGAGCAGAGCCAACATGATAAATCACTGCACAAATGCGATACCTGAGACGGGTGGTACTTGAGAGCA